GTTGTGTGTGCGGTGTCATTTTTAACCGATTTTTGTTTCTCGATTTTAATCGGACAACATCAAAACGTTTTGATATTATACGATTTTTATCGGTGGAATTTTAAGTATAACCAATCAGATTTTATGCTGTGATCACGTGCTTGTATTTATTTGGCCACATGGCGGCTACAGTTTAGGGAGCATATTTTTTTCGTAATCGTGTGCGGAGTTTTCCCGATGTATATCGGTATGTCAAACGATTTTTATCGGCCGACTAAAATCGCATCGTGTGTGCCAGGCTTTAGTGGTTTACGATACTAACGCCGAGTTTGACGTCATTATAAATTGACCAGATAAATTACATACAGATGATATATGTCCTTATTTTGTCGAATGAGTGTGCTTTTCTCTGAATTTTTTTCCACTAGATTACAGTTCAGGCTTATATAAATAATTGTTTTATGCTTATGTTCATTAGGAGGCAATAAGTGATTACAAAGATTGTTAAGTAAAGTGCTGGTTTAGGCATTTGGTTTGTGAATGTGGTAAATCTCCAGGTTTTTGAACATGCGACAAAATAGCATTATTAATAAGTTTGTTGTGAGAAAAGTCTGTCACTCTGTAATATACGAGGTACTGTAATGTTAAATGAGATTTTACAGCCCTATATTATATATTATTTCGTGCAGGCAAAGGTTAAATGGAACAAAGCTAGACTCGAAATGATTCAGTTAATGGGGGATTTATCTATCAATGACATAGACGAGAAGATATCTGATTGGATGAGGGATGTGAAAGATATCGCCAAAGGTTAGTAACGTACAATGTTATGTGCAGGTATCCGGCTTGGGATTCCAAACATGCAAGTCCAATTTTTTCCCCAAAAAAGTAATAAATTCCATTTGAAAGAATACGAAGTTGACATTTATCAAGCATGATAACTATGAAATCTTATCAAATTAACTAATTGCTTTTCGTACATGTTTCAAAAAACGAAGTAAAGAATATGTTGTTTAACAAAGAAAATCACAATTAGAATGTTGAAATTTGCCATTCGTGATCAAAGCAGGAAATGGCATTTACCATACTGTGGTCGATCAAATTTTTGGGGAAAACATGTCGCTGGATCCTCTTATAATCTGTGTTCCTTGGTTATTATCTTGGGATACGACCCTATTATTGTGTGTACATGTGTAATACAGTATATTACAGTGTATATGATGTGCAGTATCTGTCACAGTGCTTAAGTAGATGTAGTCGCTGCGTACATGTTATTTATCTGTTGTTTGATTTTGTTTCTACACAGAACAAGAATTGTGCCACAAGCCACCGCCATTGTCATCACATGAACGATATTTTCTTGGTGCATCATTAGAGAAAGACGAGTTATCTTTGGAAATAAAATCCATCTGCGAGGCAGCAGGTTTGTTATTTTCAAAAACCCTGAAGAGTATCACAAAGAAAGTATGTGACCATGGCTTAAGAGAACTTCTGCTTAGTTGTTCACCGGACGATGATATCACTGCAAAAAACATTGGAAAAGAGTCTTTAAAATCCAGGTACATTACGTACAGTATATCGATAGAGTAGATGAGCAGGCAGTTGAAAAGACTATACGTCATACGATTTAGGATTATAACTGTAGTTCATATGATTACCACTGTACTAGTTCCCAAGACTACTGGTATATTAGTTCATATATACGACTATATTAGTTCGAACGACCGTGTCAGCTCAAATGAATGTATCAGCTCATATACGACACTTGGGTTTGCACAATTACTGTTAACTACACACCTCCCAACAATATAACTGACAACGCGTGGTCCGTTAGGTGCCTTGATGATTTACAAAGACGACTGATGTTCAAACACTTTGCCATTGCACAGTTATCGTATAACATGGGGAAATGCGCAGGTACGTACATTGTTGTGCAGTGTATGCGTGTGCTACTATGTTTTTCAATTAATAGGCAGCCGTAGTATACAATATTGGATCATTATTTTAAGATTCATCCAAGCAGCGAACCCGTCTAAGGGCAAAGATAACAATGGAGGTCGCGTTACAAAAATCAGTATCGCTCTACAACAGTATTTCGAATGATGACGTGAATGCAGATGTTGCATAGATGAGTGGATAGATGAAAATGTTACATATTCTGAAGGTTTGTAAGAAAGTAGCACGTTTCTTGTGTAGCTACTTTAATCCCTGTGACCATTCAAAGCTGATTTCATGCAAATATCCTCGTGTTTACTAAAGTAAATAATATCAAAGGAAGGCAATGTATTTACTATGTATACAATTTCTATTTTGATTGGTTGGCGACCTACAGGTATTCTTCGTACAGTATATACTGCAATTATTATTGAATTCGGTCTTCGCGTGATATCCTCTGAGGCAGAGAACTTGATAATTCTCGATATCACGCTCAACCTTGTCCAATATTAATTATCGGTGTTAAAATTTGTTCCACAATAGATCTACAAAAAGCAGCATCACATAATTTATATATTTCTTTACCTAAGCTCGTCTCATTTTGTCTATTTTAGACATGCCAATAAGGACTAAGCGTCTTGTAGTGGAGAAGTGGATGGAAACCAAGCGTTTTGATGAAGAACAGGATCTTCTAAAGAGAGAGATGTCAAACTACTTGATGTTTTACAAAACCTTAGTGTTTAGACTTCGTCAAAGAAATAACGAGTTGGAGTCTTTGCATTCAGGTATATAATACAATAATTATTACAAAAAGTACAGAAATACTACAATTCAGACGGTATTTCGAAAATAGAATTCGACTTCTCGAGCAAATAGTATGCCATTCGTCAGGGAGTTGGAAAGTCTTGGAATGCCGAATTTGTTTTCGTTAAAGGTTGTGGAATAGTTATTCATCTTTCCTGTTTTCTAAAATAAGTTCATACCTTATTATGGTTATGATACAAAAATAATGGTATTCCAATTGATTTTTTGTTTTCCTATTGTTTGAAAAAATGTTAATAAAATGCTTGTGATGTTACTCTGAGTGTATATCCGTACCGGGCAAGCTTGAAAAATATGCCCGACCACGGTGGGAATCGAATCATATTCACCTGAGTACATTACACCAATACAGAAAAATCAATGTTAATCAAGAAACAACGTTTGTTTGTTGTTATTTTTCCTTCCGTATTTTTTGTATTATTATAATAGCTTTGTGTTTTCTGTCTTTTTGTTTTAGATAACGATGTAGACGAGCCTTTACTTCTTCGCACGTACGCTACTTTATCAAGGGCACCTTCCATTAAGCATGGAAAAATCGCTTTAATAAAACGAGGTGAAGATTGTGCATTATGTCAGCTAGCGCGTGGTATAAAATAATTCTCAGTAGTTTTAAATCGCAACATCGAAGAGTTTGAACAGCTTTTTGACGACCTAAGTGATACGGAAAGCGAATCAGATGGGGACATAACGGATCATGACAGTGAGTCCGATGTCGATGAGATTGGTAGCAATGTATCACTGAACATTTTACCTGAGAAAGAAAATGGTTTAGAATCCATAATTGGAGAATTAGCGTGCGGTGATGTCATCTGCTGGAAATTTCCTGCATCAGTCAGTCAGAGTACGTTGGCAGGAAATGATGAAAGTAATGCATGTAGCATTATTGCTACTTTATTAGGCTACAAGTTCCTCACGAATGAGCTGGACATTCAAGATGATACTATAAGCCCACTTTGCTTAACCTGGATAAATACTGTATGCGAATGCATTTCCATTGGTAATATGGTTTATAACACTTTCCGTGAGAACTTGCCACACAGATATCTTTCCATCGAAGAAGCTGCAGAGTTGTTGTCTGGTCTGATAAATGTAGAAGTCGTTAATATCTTTCCTATACGATTTACAGATCCCTACCAACCATCCACTATTGTTGCACAATTGGCTCATCTAATGAACTCTGATAAATCAGTAGCGCAGTTAATAATTCATGAGCGTACATCCGTTTTTTTATCCAAGGGCAGTAAAAACGTGTATTTTGATTCGCATCTACATCCCCCGTATGGCGCAGTTTTAGTTTCTGGATCAATGTTGAACTTACACGACTTCTGTAGTTATATTTGGAACTTAGAAGCGCATGACATACATGAGTTTGGGAATCTCGTCCATACTACGTATCCCGATGCTTAAACTTTTCAAATCGCATAGTAAAATTCAAGAAAATAGAGGATTGTCATAAAATACTGTATTATATTGTGTTGAGAAAGTATGATATTCTGTTTTTAATCAGCTTTTTTTAAACGCTCTTAAACCTATGTTAAGCACTTTTTAGAAAAATGCTTAATTAAGGTTTACACGAGGCATCTGAACTGAGCTGAAAACAATGTAAATGTGATTTTCTGGCAGAAACGCTTTCTTCTCAAATTTTGACCGCCAAGCCTTTCAGCCAAAATTCAAATGCCGAAATATGCAGGGTAGAGTTTTAACCAAATATTGTTTAGATTAATTGTGTTTAGGTCTGGTCATAAGGTCTGATCATAAGTCTTGTCTAAACCTTAAATTAACGAAGCGTTTGGGAGCGTTTAAAAATAATACAGACGTCAGCAATATTATTTAATGTGTGTGTGTGTGTGTGGGGGTGGGGGGGCTAGTTGAATATATTGGACCCCTTGAAACTTTGGTGGGGCGTACCCTTTTGAAACGTATGTCGTAATATATCCACCAAAGAACATTTCTCAATAACTTGCACAAACACTCCCCCGCATGAAAGGATTGAAGATCCCAGAGAACCAAGGAAAGCAGGACGAAACAAAGTTTAAGCATTCATAACATCTGAACAGGGCTTCCCTGACGGCATGTCACCCTCGGCCTTTTACTTACTTCTTCCCCTTCACTTTTTGATTGAAAGAAGTTTAATAATCCCACCTCTCTCCCTTCCCTCCTACTGACAAAACAAAACATATTATTCGCACATTAAGGAACGCTCACACGTTACCATTTTATATAATAAATCTGCTACGTTCTACGTACGTTCTAGATGCATGGTAAGTGACTGAAATTTTTACTTCATTTTAAATATTGCTCAAAAGTGTGGATATGGTAGTTGTGCTAATATTGATAAACTTTCCAAAAGGCAAAAAAGACTTGTCACGAATAATCACAGGACCAAATTGTGATGTACGATTAACGGATATATTTGAAAGTTTAGGCTGGGAACCAGTTTATGGTTAAGACATTTAAACTGATTAGTGTGAGGGTCATGATTGTGGTCTTTTGTTATTGTTTACATTTTACTCAAATACAACAAATAGCGATACAAATACCTTGTTTGGTACATTTCTGATGAAAATCAGACAAAAAGAGCAAGGATTATAAAAGGATGGATGGTTCAAATATATTACGTACTGTAAAAACTTCCAAGATCATCTAATCTATTCGTCCCGAAAAATGGCCGGCAGCAGGAGTTTGAGCATGTGAATTCCTGGTGTGACACTAATACTTTAAGGCCTTACAAGGCGAACTTCCAGAATACTTAACATATATGTTCAAACTTACCACAACGAATTACATCCGATAAAGAATGACGACTGTAAACTTTTGAAAAACCCAATAGGCAATACCAACTTTATGAAACAATATCCCCCTGGTTATGTTGTTGGTAGTTATAAACAACTCTTCGCATTAAAGAAATTTAAAAACGATTGTTTATGAGAGCTAGCCATACATACTAATAACATTGTTCAGAAAGGTGTTATTAAACTATTGGGTTTACCGTTATCAAATAATGTGTTGTCTATAGTTATGCTATATAGTACAACATCATGTGTTAGAAAGTCACCGCTTTTTTATGAAACATAAAATCGGGGTGTGTTTATGCGTTGTCTATAGTAATACTATACAGTACAACATGTGTTAGAAAGTCACCCCTCTTTTATGAAACATAAAATTGGGGTGTGTTTATGTGTTGTCTACAGTAATACTATATAGTACAACATCATGTGTTAGAAAGTCAACCCTTTTTTATGAAAAATAAAATCGGGGTGTGTTTATGTGTTGTCTATAGTAATACTATATAGTACAACATCATGTGTTAGAAAGTCACCCCTCTTTTATGAAACGTAAAATCGGGTTCCGTTTATGTGTTGTCTATAGTAATACTATATAGTACAACCTCATGTGTTAGAAAGTCACCCCTTTTTTATGAAACATAAAATTGGGGGGTGTTTGTGTTGTCTATAGTAACACTATATAGTACAACATTATGTGTTAGAAAGTCACCCCTTTTTTATGAAACATAAAATCGGGGTGTGTTTATGTCTTGTCTACAGTAATACTTTTTTGTACAACATCATGTGTTAGAAAGTCACCCCTTTTTTATGAAAAATAAAATCGGGGTGTGTTTATGTGTTGTCTATAGTAATACTATATAGTACAACAACATGTGTTAGAAAGTCACCCCTTTTTTATGAAACATAAAATCGGGGTGTGTTTGTGTTGTCTATAGTAACACTATATAGTACAACAACATGTGTTAGAAAGTCACCCCTCTTTTATGAAACATAAAATCGGGGTGCGTTTATGTGTTGTCTATAGTAATACTATATAGTACAACCTCATGTGTTAGAAAGTCACCCCTTTTTTATGAAACATAAAATTGGGGGGTGTTTATGTGTTGTCTATAGTAATACTATATAGTACAACATTATGTGTTAGAAAGTCACCCCTTTTTTATGAAATATAAAATTGGGGTGTGTTTATGTGTTGTCTATAGTAATACTATATAGTACAACATTATGTGTTAGAACGTCACCCCTTTTTTATGAAACATAAAATCGGGGTGTGTTTATGTCTTGTCTACAGTAATACTATATAGTACAACATCATGTGTTAGAAAGTCACCCCTTTTTTATGAAACATAAAATCGGGGTGTGTTTATGTCTTGTCTACAGTAATACTATATAGTACAACCTCGTGTTAGAAAGTCACCCCTTTTTTATGAAACGTAAAATCGGGGGGTGTTTATGTGTTGTCTATAGTAATACTATATAGTACAACATTATGTGTTAGAAAGTCACCCCTTTTTTATGAAACATAAAATTGGGGTGTGTTTATGTGTTGTCTACAGTAATACTATATAGTACAACATTATGTGTTAGAAAGTCACCCCTTTTTTATGAAACATAAAATTGGGGTGTGTTTATGTGTTGTCTATAGTAATACTATATAGTACAACATTATGTGTTAGAACGTCACCCCTTTTTTATGAAACATAAAATCGGGGTGTGTTTATGTCTTGTCTACAGTAATACTATATAGTACAACATCATGTGTTAGAAAGTCACCCCTTTTTTATGAAACGTAAAATCGGGGTGCGTTTATGTGTTGTCTATAGTAATACTATATAGTACAACATTATGTGTTAGAAAGTCACCCCTTTTTTATGAAACATAAAATTGGGGTGTGTTTATGTGTTGTCTACAGTAATACTATATAGTACAACATCATGTGTTAGAAAGTCACCCCTTTTTTATGAAAGTGTTGTCTACAGTAATACTATATAGTACAACATCATGTGTTAGAAAGTCACCCCTTTTTTATGAAACGTAAAATCGGGGTGCGTTTATGTGTTGTCTATAGTAATACTATATAGTACAACATTATGTGTTAGAAAGTCACCCCTTTTTTATGAAACATAAAATTGGGGTGTGTTTATGTGTTGTCTACAGTAATACTATATAGTACAACATCATGTGTTAGAAAGTCACCCCTTTTTTATGAAAGTGTTGTCTACAGTAATACTATATAGTACAACATCATGTGTTAGAAAGTCACCCCTTTTTTATGAAACATAAAATCGGGGAGTGTTTATGTGTTGTCTATAGTAATACTATATAGTACAACATTATGTGTTAGAAAGTCACCCCTTTTTTATGAAACATAAAATTGGGGTGTGTTTATGTGTTGTCTACAGTAATACTATATAGTACTAGAAAATACATGCATGCAGAAACCCTCGCCTTGCTGACAAAACCGTTGTATTTTCCGAACAGGAAGTATCTAGAGTAGTTGTCATGGTAACACAATAATTTTTTAAGAATATTCTTACAAATGAAAATCGCCTAAAAATATCACTTTTAATTACAAAATTATCAATTTCCCCACATATATATGTTAGGTATGTAATTATACGTAATACAAGCTTCAATTTAAGGTAAAATTCAACCACAAACAATTCACAAAACGTTTTAAAGTGTTCTTTATAAAACTATAAACTGCCTTTAACTATTAAATGGCTTTATCAATAAACTTTCAGTTTGCAATAAAATGATTTCAAATTCTCGCTTGCAAATCACTTTGGTCTTTGCTTTATTTTTTATTTAAAAAATTCAATATAATAAAAAAGGGAATCAATATTAAAGTTACACTGAAATTTATATATGCTGTCTTGTTTAGTTGTTTCATATACGCAAAGGCCGTCGGGTTTTAAAGCCATTATTATAAAATCAATATTTAAAACAAACTTACCTTCGTTAACGTCGGCTCCCTTCTTTTAGCTGATTCTTTCGCCCTTTCTTTCTTGAAATTTACAAAATCTTGCAGAAATACGAACAAAAATGAAATATATTTGCAAGAAATTTATCAATCATCAAATCAAGAAAATAAGAAATGTTTGCTATTTCGCTGTCGTCATGCAGTCGTTATAATGCAAACTTTAAATTGGACCAATCAGTGTCCGTTATTCATAACAATCCACCATATTTTTGAGATCAGTGAGGATGACCACCCATCGTTGGTGACTGACGCCCGCGCTCATTGATGAACTTTAGACTTCGCTAATGCTTTCGTTTCCCCGGGTGTAAATAGCCGGGGGGAATTAGTACCCTCGCACGGCGCTTTGCGCCGCCAGCTCGGGGACAACCTCATGTGTTAGAAAGTCACCCCTTTTTTATGAAACGTAAAATCAGGGTGCGTTTATGTGTTGTCTACAGTAATACTATATAGTACAACATCATGTGTTAGAAAGTCACCCCTTTTTTATGAAACGTAAAATCGGGGTGCGTTTATGTGTTGTCTATAGTAATACTATATAGTACAACATTATGTGTTAGAAAGTCACCCCTTTTTTATGAAACATAAAATTGGGGTGTGTTTATGTGTTGTCTACAGTAATACTATATAGTACAACATCATGTGTTAGAAAGTCACCCCTTTTTTATGAAACATAGAATCGGGGTGTGTTTATGTCTTGTCTACAGTAATACTATATACACGGCCAAGTTCGCACAACTTGCAGCAAGTCTGTCATCAGGCTGCATGCGAATTGTTGCCACCAAGCCCCAGATCAGATGCGTTCGCTCGGCTTGTTGCGGCTTGACGATACTTGCTCGCATCAGCACAACAACAGACTTGCTGCAATTTGATGTTAACAGACCTGTCGCAATGGCGATGACAAGAGACTTGCTGCAAATTGTCGTTAACAGACCTGTCGCAATGGCGATGACAACAGACTTGCTGCAATTTGATGTCGACAGACCTGTCGCAATGGCGATGACAACAGACTTGCTGCAATTTGATGTCGACAGAGCTGCAGCAATGGCGATGATAAAAGACTTGCAGCAAGTCTGCAGTTGACATGACAACCAGCGATTAAACACGCGTTATTCCCGCGTGTTTTCACACAACAGATTCCAGAAGCAAGAAAACACTCGCTTCAAAGTACTTTAGATAACTTTAGATCATTTTATTTATCGTATGTAACTGATCATAATACAATTTTACATATGAAATTACAATAAAGGCAAAAACATTGCTAATATATACTGGAACCCATGAAATATACTTCACTATTTCAACGATTAAAAGGTATAGTGTTTGTAGTTTTATACACACACCTTTAGATTGTCCATTAATACATCATCATAATTGCATGTAATGCAAAGTAAAAAATATCATTCTACGGTCGAACACAAACAAATATACGTATATATAAGTTGATCTCAATTTTACTTATATAGTTTTACTTGTAAAATTATAAATTTCAAATTATCAAACTGTATTGCATAATTTTAAATTGTCAAGGTCCGACACTGGATATAATTTTTTACTTTGACCTTTGCTGGATGGACAGATGATCCTTGGCTTATTTGATATTCGATTTGACAAAAGCATACATTACTGTAATTGAATGTGTGCTTTTTAGAGGAGTAAAGTCAATGATCATTTATCAGAAAACATTGTTACAACTTATGAAGAATCTGTTGAAGAGATACCGGTTGTTTGTCAAATTGTGTGTAGTGGTTAAGGAATAATGCTGAATCACTTCTTGTTCTTCGACCACATCATGATTTGATTCCTCGAAACCACATTCTCCGGATAAACAGTCATGCACAAGATGGACGCGCTGCTTCACAGAACTTGATGGTATTATTTCTTTATAGGTTGTCTTTACAAGGACTGGACATTGAAAGCGACCATATTGAATATCTCCATTGTCATCAGTGGAAATTCTGAAGCAGATAACTTGCACCATGGTTTTATTATCCCTGCTGACATTCAACATTTTCACTGTACCATAAAATAGACCAACACACATCTATAAAAAAAATGTTGGGGGAAAAGGTGCTGTATGTCTATTTTTTTCAAATTGATAAAGTAGGGAATCTTTACCACTGTCTGTTTTAGAAAAATGAGAGATCATGCAGTTGATCCAAGATCTTCTATTCATGAAAAAGGATTATTTGTGATAGTACTGATGAGTTCTGCAACCTTAACTTTACCTGTCCATTCTTATCCTGATATGATATGCCTTGACCCATTCATATCAGCTCTTTATTACTGGAGATGCAGCCCTGATAATAATGGCATTTTTCCTCTAGACTGCCAGCCATGTCTCTCTCAATAGCAGCTTTCAATAACAACGAGCCAACTTCAAACGTTTGCAGACGACCATTTGCATATTTCCCCTAACAATATAATAGTAAACCGTAGGTATGTGTGGGTGGTATACTGTAATATTGCTACATGTTCATTACCTGTCGAGTCAATTGATTTTTAATGGGTAATACTACACAATATTTTAAATCTATCTAATATTAATTCATACCAGTCTAGGTGATCCAGGTTGGTAAATCTCTCTATCACTGTTTGTTTTAACACAATCTTCATACATGAACTTCACCAGTTTGTTGTTCCTGCCGAGTTGCTGTAAGTGTTCAGATGCACTTTGCCTGTAAGTATATTAGTTTGTTAGCCAAAATTGTCAAATTGTATTGTTTATAAAATCAGGATTGAACAAATTTGTGCTGCCCACGTTGTCCATATTTATCAACAATTTTTTTCAGCATTGTTACACCTGGTTCAGGCTTGAAAACAACATTGTTTATAATATAATTGTGACAACTTATATGAACAATGTGGGTATGCATGCAGCAAAGCATTGTTCATTCAATCTTGTATTTACTGTGCAGGCTCAAAATTTTTGACTATGTGACAATTTTATTTTTTAATTAATTTTGTTCACTTCTGTAAATTCTACTTTAATATATTACCTATACCCTTTGCCCCAACAACCACCATTCAAAATGAATTGAAGAAGTTTGTGTTTGGCAAACGTCTGGGCAATATCTTTGCTGCAAGCTTGTCGGTTAGAATAAATATTCATTTGCCGTATCACTGAATTGAAAGCTTCAAATCTAGAGTAAAACAAATTGAAAGGTAATAAATAATAAAAAAACATAATCTATGTTGCCCTGTTACCTTGTAAATATAGATGAAGCAATTTGAAGTCACCTTTCAGTGGAAAACCCAATTGCTGGACCAAACTCTACCATATGGTCAAACATATGTAGAAGCATATGAATTTTGGGTTTTCTGCGAAATTCCGGATGGATATCAAGCAGTGAGTTGATGAACTGAGATACAACATCATTAACTTTTTCACGGTCATTTAGGTTCACTTCTGAACAATAGGCGATAGAAAATACCTGCAAATTACATAGATTAAATATCAGTACATTGTTATAAAGTTAACTGATCCTAGTCGTAATGCCACTGATTAACATCTTAGGTAAAGTCATACATTGCTCAGATGAACCCACACTTCCAATTCATCACTCGGTACAATGTCAACCAGGACAAATACAGCAACTTGTGCCCAACTGTGTGCAGAGACTTTCTTTTTATTTGCAGGTGAAAGGGTTTTCATGGTCTTGGCCAAAAGGTATTTTTCACAGCCAAGCAGTGTTGTATGGAGAATCTCAATTGGTGTCTGCCTGCAAAAATTTCCACAGTTCAGTCAATTTCATGGTAAGTGTAATTTCATCAACTCTCTGCAAAATACCCCATTAATGGCCTTTAAAGGGTACCAGGATATTTACTGTAGATCTACATGTGCAGCATGGCAATGATTTACTTCAATCATTCAATAATAAAATTTTTGAAAGAACAATCTTACTTGCATGCCTCGAACGTCTTCAGTATATCAAACTGCCCCCCACGTTCCGACACACCAGTATCTCTTCGTAGCATAATTTTTGCCCTTTCAGATCTACAAATATGACAGAAATAATTTTAGTTGTAAGCAATGCCAAATTGTCATTGCAAATTATTCCATGTTGCATCAGATTAACATTATATTGTCCATTAGTGTTTAGACAAAAGTGATATTACATTGGTTTTGTCCAGACATTGAAAACCAGAAATTCGAATTGAAGTAGTAAGTATTAATAGATGTACTGTACATTTAATTTGTATAATGGAATGAACTATAGCTAGTACCTGCAATTGTTTATCTGTCCCACAGTACTTTTTACGACTATGTCTGTCATTGGTTGACCCAGTTGAAAGGCATTTTCAGATGTTGCCTGCACAATTAAAATATAATTAGTATAAGACTTGACTGCCAACTTAGATTCCTGGAGCATATAGATGGTGATTGCAACAGGTGCTATTTAATTGAATTCAAAACATCCTAAAAATAGCAAAATGCAGAGTCAAAACTTAAATCACAATCCCAACAGAAATGCCGTGCTGTACTGCCGAGATGATGGCAAATTTCTGATGCCTTTGGATTGTCACATGAGACACAGAGGATTGGGTACTGGACAAAAATGTCTGCTTGAGTAAATGAGTCATACATTACCATTCCGGTCTCAAGTTGTAAGGGGAAAACATGTATATGCACATTACATAACAGACAAACTTAGCTTGGCTGTATATCACAGCATTTTAAGTAGGTAAAAACGTTTCTATGTATACTATAGACTAAAACTATCTTCAATACCATATGAGTGTAAACCTAACAGATCTTCTGCAATAACTTTGCCCAGAGTTTCAGAGTCTAACAAATTTGAAACACAAACAAAGTTTATGTTACTAAATTTGGTAACTTCTTCTCTAGGCAGACTTGCAAGAAAAAAGGAATATGTTTCCAGTTTGTTCCATTTCTTTGTCCTGTTCCCACTAGTTTCGTCGAGGAAGATGACCAGTGGAAGAGTCAATGTCTGCCTTCCATTTGCTGCTGTTTTCACCGGATGTGCAGTGGAGTGGAAAATTATTTCCTAAATTAAATAAGATTCAGAACTCAGATTACAGTAGCTACTTTAATGAATACCATCTCAGACTTACCTAGCATCGTACATACTGTACTTCTAACACCATTGACATCCTTGTACGCCAGGGGAGTTTCACATATCTCGTCAATTTCATTGATTTTAAGCACATCGAGGTCTTCCGAAATAACCAAATAATCTGTGACCATGTGGTGATGAACATAAACTTTTAGAATCTCACACATGAACTCAAGACAGTTATTCACCTCCTGAAAGATTGATAACATACAATTTTAAATTCGTATCCATAATTTGTGCAATGTATTCTTGAAATAGGCAAGCATTTGTGATATACTGTACGTTTACCTTTGCAAAAAATTTCTGAACTTTTCCATAAGCCTTGCTGTTGTCTCGTCCATAAAACCCAACAACGTCTCCCACAAACACAGTTTGGCCATTGACGGTTGCAGAAGATGTCTGAAAATGGTTGCAAACATGCCATTTTCTGCCCTACGGTATAGTAAAGATAGTACAGGTTGCATTGAGGATTCAGGGCAGCAGGCATAAAAAAAATACTTACTTGACACATCTCTTGGATTTTGTTTTCTGTCAGTTTGGGGTATCGGATGAGTTGTTCAGCAACATGTGGAGTGGCCAATTGCATTTTTATATGCTTGGAGGGTGGAATCCAGTAGAATGGATGCCCATCCCCATATGCCTGATTAATAACATAAAAGCTGATTGCATAATGTATCATTTCATGGCATTGTTTTATTGTTAGTGGACGTTACCAGGGCTTTCAAAACTTATTTGCATAGGGCTGCCCTCATATTGGGGGAGGGAATTTGCCAAAAGTGAGACAAAGGACTTTTGAAAAATTGTAATACTGTATATGCAATTATAATATTGACCTCTCCCCCCACAGGTTATAGCCTGAAACAGCCACAGGGTATTCTACCCACAGGTCTTTTTGAAGGAAATTTCCTTCAATTGTGGAAGCCCTAGACGTTATTATAAGTAATAGCATGGCTTGAGGGAGATTAGTGATTAAATGGCCCCGTAACCCTAGGCAGGTTTGCGGAATTCCCGAGGGCGAAGCCCGAGGGAATTCCGCAAACCTGCCGAGGGTAAGGGGTCATTTAATCACTAATCTCCCGAAAAGCCATGCTATTAGTTTGTAATAGCATAGTTTCGCTCCCATTTAAAAATGGACAAACATGCCCTACTTGGAATCAGCGTATTTAAGCTAAAACATTTGCTTCATTGCTTGTGGGATGTAAAAGCTTGTTGCACATGCGCACTTTTTACGCTTTAATCGGTTACGCATGCGCAATCTATCATTTAACGTACCACAACAAACACGCTAAATATATTAGTATAAATTTGGAGACTGCACGTGCGTAATTTAAATGATGCGGCAACTCAGGGATCGGATGATAGACTATTGACGGCTCTGAGCTAACTGTTGCTGTTCCTTGCACGATTATGTGCGTGAGGCACTTGCCTAATGCGTAGTCGTCAGGGAGACAAAGGTGTGACCCTTGGTAACGGGCGATTAGTTCTAATCGCCCGCTCTAGCGGGCGATTAGAACTAATCGCCCGCTACAGCGGGCGATACGTGATTAAACGTCCCTGTTGAAACAAAAGAAACCCGGGCAACTATGCTATTACCACAGTTGTAGCCTGCTCACAGGCCGTTGTCAGCCAGAGTATAGAGCCTGTGAGCAGGGTACTACAGTAGTTGTAATGTAACCCCGACATTTACATACGACATAATACGACATTCGCGAATCCTCCGTGTCTACGGCTTAGAATTCTCACTGTTCACTAGCTATAAATACCTTTTTTACTGGTAGCATGTTTTCTAATCCATCTATTTGAAATGATAAAATGGAATCGAGAGATGGCGTTGAAACTCCTAGACGATCCAGTAACATCCACAGGAATTCCAAATCGACTCTCGACTGAAAATGGAAAAACCCAACATATAAATGATTTGGAATTGTTTTTATGCAGTACAACGTGTATCTGTATAAAAAATACTTAAGCCCCTGTACAGGCGAACATCATTAATACTACTTAAATGACTATGGGCGTACTGGAAGGAAAAATTTTGGGGGGCGGAAATAACCGAAATAACCCAAAATTTTTCGGAACATCTCACAAATTTTCCAAACATCACAAAATTGACCACAAAATTGACAGAATTTCCCACAAAACTGACAGAATTTGTCCCACTTATTTTTATAATAAACCAAAATTGCCCGACTGTTGGGTGAATATTGCCCGACTGCCCAACAAACTGGGGGGGCTGCCGCACGCCCCCCCCCCCGGTACGCCCATGTAAATGACCCGGTCAAAGGTTTTCTTTCGTTGCGATTGTACATATTATACGTTGTATTTAATACAGTTGAGCCGCCATGTTCCTTTTTTTTCTGGAGAGTGGCAATTAACCAATAATTTCAATCTTGACCAATTAAATTGCAGTAATTTTTGCCATTTATAACATTATAATAATAGTTATATTGGGCGTTTACCATAAAGCCAAAGAGACTCATACCTCAAATTAATGTGTGACATTAGTGTTTTTGGTGCAATTTTGTGCGTGATTTAGAAAACGCGAAAAAAGAAGTCAATATTAATACAAGCAATTCAATCTATCCCTTACCTTGGGTCTCATTATCCCGTGTGCGTAGCAATACAGCAGAAAAAATTTTTCATCGGGAAAAGGAAAAATTATTTTGTTACCAGGATCACATCTACTGTTGCCATGTATCACTGCTTCCCCATCATTCTCATTATTGTTTGGTGGTGGTACGGGATGAGCCTCTGGATAAACGGCCTGTTGAGCAATGGTATCAGTGACTGACATTGGGAAGACGGTGTCTGTTGGTATCGCTTCATCCAATAGCATGTCTAATACTTCGTCGTCACTTTCTTCAATCGATACACTTTGCGATAACATCGACTTCATTTTGTGAGTTTTTGAACCACAATGCCGTAAAAAACAATTGCTGGACTCGAATTGGATTTCACACAAGTCGCAACACTCGACATGTCGTCGGGTCCTTTTCATGATTAAAACAACTTTATTTTTTATAAAAAAAACTTTCTGCAGTATACATAAAAGGTGCGACTTCAGCAACCAGTTGGGTGACGAATGAAAAACCGGCAAAATTTTTGTAAATTTAAAGGAAAACCCTATCGCCATTTCACATCCTTGTTTGGGCCATTTCGGGTAATAAAAAGCCTAATTTTCATGTGATTGGACAATTATTACTTTTAGAAATTCATAAATTAAAAAAAAACAGTTTCCCGCGACATGCCGCGCAAGCAATTCGCGCAAGCAAATGACGAGTTTTTATCACTGGTTTTTATTCAACGATTTTTGCTTTTGAGTTTACACGTCCTTGTTTTTTAAAACAATTTTGTGATATTTTTTCAACTATTGAAAGAAATTCAATCTTGTCAGGGTAGGTGAAATGAGTGTAGCTGACATGGAAAACGAGTAAGTGTTAATAAGCCTTGTTTATAATTTACATATCTGGCTGGACATTTTTAAAAGCGTTAGGTTACTAAAATGTTTTTCGTTTTTAAGCATTTTTGGTTTCGTCCCGGACTCTCCATGCGAAGATAGTACGCAATTGTCTCCGTGTATATTCGATGTTTTGACGAATGGTGAGTCTGCTGACTATGATTGGGGTTTTCCCTTGGCCTGATGCTTTGTTTACAAAGTCAAGGTCAGACTTATTCCGCTTTTTTGAGTTCAAGGTCAATTGATTTCACTCTGTCGAGTGTACAGTATTTTGGACGTATCTTGTTTTGAAGCTGCTCGCCTGCTGCCGAAAAGTCTTTAGAGTTTAGAGGACCACTCAGGATTAATTTGTTTGCTTGGTGTTTTCGTATCTTTGATAAACATTTAAAATTCATTCTTAGTGTTGTGTTTAATTTTGATTAAATGTTGTTTTTGTTTTAGTACGAAGTCAACGACAGAGCGATTCAATGAGATACAAGAGTACCTCGAAGAGTACAACACGATTACAGAGTATGTGTACATATATTCTGATTTTTTTCATTGTACAATAAAATACATCCACAATTTGCTATATTCAGCATCAATGTCAGTCGGCCATCACACGTCCAAGTGACCGTTGACAGGTTAGACAAGCACGGTTACATTTACTTTCATAGTAATTTTAACAAACTAGAGATTTACCTTGCATAATCTTCTTCAGACCGAGTAGAATCGCAGTCAAGAACCGCCAGCAATGCAGAGAGCGAGAGGATTAACGAGAAACGGCCAGCTCGAAAAGGTATAGCAGGTATATTTATTATTTACAGTTATTTTACATGATGTACTTTGTAGAAACTTTATATAAATTACTTATATTATTTTATTCTTGTAGCTTTATTTACATCTAATGCCGAAACAAGTAAAGGTTCGGGGATGAATAGAGCAAGAGGTTAGTCCACTCCATGTACTGTATATTGTAAAGAATCGACAAAAATTATTGTAATTTAATTAGCTCTTATAATTTAATACCATGGTTTTAGGTAAACTGATCATTTTACCTACAGGACATTCCCAGCCAAGGCAGACTGCATGTATGGTCCAAACACCAACTAGCAGCAGTTCTGAGTTTATTTATTGCATAAATATTGTCTTTTGTAATAACTACCTTTAATAAAACAGATCAAAGAAGCCAGGCAATGAGCGCAAGATGCAGCAGCCTTGGACAACAACTGAATAGTCAGCAAAGACGGCCAAGTACATTGACAGGTTCGACAGACTTCAATACGATTTGTCAAAAACTGAAAAGGCATATTTTAACCCATTAAGCGCCAGCGCTCTCCCCCTGACGAGTAAAATCGTCTGGCATTAAACAGAGTAAAATACTAAAGTAGGGTGCATCACCATTCAATGGGTTGACTAGACACATGGGCGGATAGGCCAGTTAACCCCTTGACAAGTAAAATCGTCTGGCGTTAGACTAGAGTCAAATACTAAAGTAGGGGTGCATTGCCATTCAATGGGTTAACTAGACACATCCATGGGCAGATAGGCCAGTTAACCCATTAAGCGCCAGCACTCTCCCCTTGACGAGTAACATCGTCTGGCATTAGACAGAGTAAAATACTAAAGTAGGGTGCAGAACAGTGCATCGCCACTCAATGGGTTAATCTAGCCAGTATTCATTACGTGTTAATTTTCACAGGGGAATGAGCGGCGTGACAAACAAGCGATGATCAACGATCAACACGAGGTTAGTTATTGAATATATGATCATGTTTTAATTTTACATCCTACCTGCAATTAACAAAAATAAAAACAAAATCTTTCTTTTGTACTGCATTAGAACAAGCAAATTCAGGGATGCACAGAGAAAGAGGTAAATGACCCGAGTAAATTCCCAACCCCTATCATTATCAATTTGGTTTAAATATATTCATGTCTACCTTATTACATGCAGTTCATCTATAAATTAGGTATTTATTTCAGCTATTGGTCACTCCCACACTGCAGCAACTACAGCAGTTATAATGGAGCAAAGAACAAATTAAGGTTTTTATTTCATGGCATTGAATACATCCAGATATATCATCAAAATATCTAATTAGTTCAAAAGAACTGATTGAATCAATGTCAAATACTATTATTAACTTTGATAATGGTTCATAATGTCACATATTAAAGAAGTGTCCCTGAATGAATAGAATATTTTCTTTAGATCTGATAAACGAAATGAAGTCCCTGATTAAGGCTGAAGTCCATGGTTTGAAGCGCAGCATTTCTCAACTGACTGAGCAACAGGGAGAGCTTTTTCGTATGGTTAAGTCTTTGAAGAAGACCAGTGAAGCCAGTCACTTTGACATGGGGAAATGCTGTCACACTGTATGTATAAAAAGTAAAGCACATGTATTTCAACAGATTAGTGAAGTCCTTGTGACTAGGTAGCAATATTATTATACAATCTGTTTTTGACAGGAGAATGTCAACAGAATACTGGCACAGTTTTACTGTACGAATGGTCACTATCCAATAGCCACTGATGATAAAAAGGTATAAAAAGAATAACTTTTTGTTTCACAATCAGAAATACTTAATACTCAAAAACAATTATTAAATTAATATACATTACTAACATCAATCATAGATCATTTGTCCTCGGAAAATTGAATACCACTTTCCCTTTATTTAGCCTCCACACCCCCATATATGATAAACACCCACCCTCTACTTAGTCCCTTGTCAGTGCTGACTATATCTAAATTAACAATGAATAATAGATGTTATACTTTAATATATTGATATTATTTCATCTGAGTTTATTATCTATCCAGTTAGTATTTACACCCCCCTCCCTCCTCTAATAAGTCCTCAAAGGTCTGAATAGGGAACTATGGTATTCAATGATGCTAAAATGTTATTAAATTAATCTTAGAAATTGCTCGAGGAAGAATTCCTGGACTCAGCTTCAGGCTTGACCGTAGAAGAGCTCATGCTGCGTGTCACCAAATATGAAGCGAGCAGATATTCATATAGGAGGAGTGAGGAATGCAGAAGAGTAAGCTTTCAGTTGTTATACCTTTACGCATCAGGCCCCATCACACCATCATGCCCCACAAGTCACAAGTCTGTTCACTTTCTTGCTAGGTTCTTGGAATTAATGGCTATGAGCACTTGGTCAAGGCATCCTCCAATATTCTGGCCAAGAAAGTCCTGCAGTTGTTGGGCCAAAAACACAATGCTGTGGCAACATCTACAATCAAAAAAGACATCATCCTGATAGTAAGTGTACTACATTACCATATAATATTGTAACAATCAGTTAATCCTGGCAGAACTTATATCCTCTTTCCTCCCACAAACATATGTACTGTATAAAGCCTATATCTACACGGCACAATTTTTCCTATACAATTCTGACCCTGGTGTATGTGATTGAATAAATGTGGAATCCACATTAGTTGTCATATGTCAGAATAACAATTGTATACCATGAATCGGATCCATCATGTATATATAGTTAGGCCTATACACCCTTTTCATAAATGGCTGCCGATTAAAAATTCTTTTATGTGCATATAAATTGGCCCAACTAGCCTCGTTTCTGGGTAGAAATTCCTTTGAAATCTTAACATGAGTACGAGGCTAGTTGGGAATTGTTATATGCACATAAAAGAATTTTTAATCTGCAGCCATTTATGAAAAGGGTGTATATACAATGTATGTAAAATTCTTATAATATTATTCACTAAATATAGCGAAAGTTTATGAGAGAGGTATCGGAGGAAGAAGCCAAGCAGCTAAAGGACTTCTGGGGGGCTTTCTACAGCTGGAAGAATGATACCCTTCCACGCCATCTTGGTTTTGAAGATTGGGAAGAGATGCGAGAAGAGGACATGCATTTCTATCCAGAAGACTAAGCATACACTTCATGCTTAAGTCTTCTGGACAGAAATGCCGTGCAGGTTTATCCATCCAGAGTAGAACATGACAAGTCATATACTTTGCATATAGAGATAAAAGAGGTACATGTAGATAAATTGGCACACATTTTTACTTCAAGTATGTTTAACCATTTCGTTTGACTTGGTTATGTAATCTCCAAATTTGTTTTCTTATCTATGACCTCCATGGTGCAAAGTATTCTGGTATTTAGACTACACAAATTAATTTGAGCTACAAAAAGATTGAATAAAACAGAGTACAATGCAACACAACTACACACATTGGTTTACATCTAACCTTCAATATATGTAAATCAATTGAATGGGTTGTCTTGCAATGACAGTTTTCAGTATATAGACATTACATACATGCAGTTCAGTTTTTAAAAATTTCATCGATGTTAGTTATGGAATTGTCTTATTGATGTACAAACAATAAATGTTAATAATACAAAGTAAATGATGTTAAATTGTACAAATATCGTTCTTGTCCTATAAAGACAATGTAAATGAAGTATTTATTGCTGTATTATAAAGGTCAATATTGTAGTTTTATATATATAAGTTTTATAAACAATATGACTTGAAATTTGCTGTTTTGATGCATAATGTAATCAGGTGAATAAGATGCTTGTGTGATGTATATCCACATAGAGCAGGCTTGAAAAATATGCCACCGTGGCCAGGTCGTATTGAAAAATCATTGCAGGGCCATTGAAAAATCCCACCGTGGCCAGGCATATTTTTCAAGCCTGCTCTATGTGGATATTATACACTCAGAGTATTAAACATCACAGAAGCAACAATGACTTGTTTACGATGTATAGAGAATGTATATTTCATACGAAAACAATGACATATATTCTTTAGTAACCTCGTTTTTAACAAAAACTTACAATCTGTTTGGTTAATAAACACGAGCGACGAAATTGAAGAGCTGTGAATCCCTTTATCTCTTTTAAACAAGTCCCATGTGGATCGATGTGAAACAGTCCGTAGCGGGATGTTATCAACTTGCTGCAAGCTTGTGAACATCAAGCCGCAGTGATCTGTTCACATCAGGTCGAAACAGGCCTGTTGATTCATCAGACTTGGTGCAAACTGTTAACGACAAGCCTGTTGCCACTTGTTTTCAACAGCATTGCTGCAAGCTGCACTCATCAACTTGCTGCTGGCCCGCGGTCATCCAGTTGCGACAGACAGGTAGCATCAGGTCTGTCGCGGCTTGACGTATTCATCAGGGCTGACGCAACCTGTCATCAGCTTGCGTCGGCCAGGTAAATTCCTCAACTTGCAGCAAGTCCGTGAGATTTCTGGCCGTGTAGTACAACATCATGTGTTAGAAAGTCACCCTTTTTTTATGAAACATAAATTGGGGTGCGTTTATGTGTTGTCTATAGTAATGCTATATAGTACAACAACATGTGTTAGAAAGTCACCCCTCTTTTATGAAACATAAAATCGGGGTGCGTTTATGTGCTGTCTATAGTAATACTATATAGTACAACCTCATGTGTTACAAAGTCACCCCTTTTTTATGAAACGTAAAATCGGGGTGCGTTTATGTGTTGTCTACTGTAATACTATATAGTACAACCTCATGTGTTAGAAAGTCACCCCTTTTGTATGAAACGTAAAATCGGGGTGCGTTTATGTGTTGTCTATAGTAATACTATATAGTACAACATTATGTGTTAGAAAGTCACCCCTTTTTTATGAAACATAAAATTGGGGTGTGTTTATGTGTTGTCTACAGTAATACTATATAGTACAACATCATGTGTTAGAAAGTCACCCCTTTTTTATGAAACATAAAATCGGGGTGTGTTTATGTCTTGTCTACAGTAGTACTATATAGTACAACATCATGTGTTAGAAAGTCACCCCTTTTTTATGAAACATAAAATCGGGGTGTGTTTATGTCTTGTCTACAGTAATACTATATAGTACAACCTCGTGTTAGAAAGTCACCCCTTTTTTATGAAACGTAAAATCGGGGGGTGTTTATGTGTTGTCTATAGTAATACTATATAGTACAACATTATGTGTTAGAAAGTCACCCCTTTTTTATGAAACATAAAATTGGGGTGTGTTCATGTCTTGTCTACAGTAATACTATATAGTACAACCTCATGTGTTAGAAAGTCCCCCCTTTTTTATGAAACGTAAAATGGGGGTGTGTTTATGTGTTGTCTGTAGTAATACTATACAGCGTGTAAAAAAAAATGCTACGGAAATTGAACAGGCTGTCATGCATCACAAACTTAGCTAAACAATTCAATTTTTACATAGGACGAAAGAGCTGTTACTTAGCTTTTCAATACTTTTTTAAATCGTAACGATGAGAAACGACCACAGACTTGTCGAATAGAAATTGCCGGTCGAAATCACATTCTTCCACCTTTGGGAATTAAAAATACATTACATATTATAAATCGAACACATATTAACCTTATTTACATTTTGTTTACACTCTCTGATCATTCGAGCCCCGACACCTTCGACATGTCCACCAGCTCTGTCAACACAAAGAGACTTCGCCAGAGCATTCCATGGACAGCTTGTTTCACCATGACTCGATCATTTTGCAATGTTCTTAATTCATGGCGAATATGGTTTTGGAAGTCGTTTAGGTCATTTGATGGACTTACAAAAACTTTGCTTTTCAAGCAACGCCAAAGAAAAAAATCACATGGTGTGAGTCGGGTGATCTCGGCGGCCACCCCACTGCATGGCCGAGGACAACAACGCGGTTTCCGGACAGTTCCCTCAACCGATCTAATGATCTTGCACAGCAATGAGACGATGCGCTGGGGCACCGTCTTGAAACCACGAAAGACGTCGAAACACCCCACCATGCTGACGATCAAAAAGCGTTTGGAGTTGTGGCACGTTGTCGTTCAACATTTGCAAATAACGTACGCCATTGACATTCCCAAATTTGCCCAACATTTATATGTAATGCGCGATGTTTTTGACATCCCCCGTCGACCAAATGTTTGGTAAAAAATATTGCCAAAATTAGCTTTATTATTTTATCTTTCCATAAACGTATTTCACGACTTGAATTTCTCCCAGATTTTGTAAACCTATCCCCTCCACAATGCCTGACTCGCCGGTACAAACTGCCAGACATTCAACTTTTCTGTCAGAACCGGGGAGGGGGGGGGGCTGCCACCACCCTCTCCCGTTACGACCATGCAGTGACTTAGCCAGAACGATAATTGGGGGTGGGGCATATTCATATATTCGTGTTCTGCTTTATTAATTTCTTTTGAAATCAATTGTTTTTATGGTATGTGAACACCAATATATGAATATGCCCCCCCAATTACCGTTCTGGCTACGCCTCTGCGACCATGCTTGTCATGATGTGTTAACACCTGTGGCAGGATAGTCCAAATATCTACAATGATATTCGACCGCCTCGTGATCATGATCCAAAAGATTTCCTTCGTAATCATCTAAACAATTTTTCATCATATATGAAAATATAAATGTAGTTGTCATAAGCATCTTCATCGAACAATCTTTGATGCCGGTTTCATGTCCCGCTGCTGCCCGGCTGAATGCATTAAACAGAATCAATAATCAGCTGAAATATCTGATGTTTAGTGCATTAGGCACAGGCCTTGCCTTAGAACAAGAAACTGACTGATGATGTTGATGCAAAGTATCATAATTATATTTTATGTTCAGCAAGCGAGAATTAGTGTAATAGGAAGAAAGGATCAAAGCAATATAAAATATTCAAATCGACGGTTTAGGCAAGTATATCTCCCATGCGTAACATCCTAATGATCTGAAAGATACAAAGAACCAAACTTCAATATTTGTGCAATTTGGTATCTTACATATCGGTAATCCACAAGTTACAAGCATTTTTAAATAAAACTTAAATGTTGCCTCTGGAACACTAATTGACAATTGGTTGACAATTTTTGAGAACTGGATACAGGATTCCTTTTCGCATTTAACAATTGGTCCTATTAATGAGTTGATTACATACAAAAGTAGCTACAATTGTTTTTGACAATTTTTTAAATGTCAATGTAGGGGGTGTTAAGCAACTGTAATATCATAGTTGCCTCGAAATCCTTTGTCTCGCGAGGTACGATTAATCACTATCTTACCTCATTACCCATGCATACGCTTTTGTTTTCTAAATTTCCCTGGGAAATTTAGTTGAAAACAAAGGATTTCTTTGTCTTCTAATTTTCCCCTGCATGTTTGATGAGGGAAAATTAGAAGACAAAGAAATCTTTTGTCTTTTACTAAATTTCCCGGGTGAAATTTAGAAGACAAAAGCGTACCTCATTACCTCTGATTGGAGAGCTGTACCTCATCGAAAATCATCGGCACAACTATATGGACAGTATCTGACGACACCGTCCCGTACACATTCGAACAATCACTTTGCCAGCTTTTATTCCCTAATCTTGAACATTTCAATTGTGGGTGAAAATTCCGTTTATGCGCATGCCTAAAACGCCAATGAACGCGGAGATGTGTTTCTGTGCGTGCGTATATATGAAAAGTGTTCGTACCACAATCATAAGACAATCAAACAGCATTCAAAATGGCAACACACCACACGCGATTCCCTCTGCAACTATGATATTACAAAGTGATAGCATGGCATTACGGTTGATTAGTGATGACATTCCCTCAAGCCTTGAGAGGTTTAGTAAAAGTTACTAAACCTCTCTCGGCTTTCGGGTACATATTTAATCACTAATTGCCCTGAATGCCATGCTATTACTTATAAAAATTGTATTAACAAGAAATGATCGCATGAGCAAATAAGATACTAGCCCATGTTTCACTAAAATGCATCCCAATAGGAGGCTATTGGATTAATTGTGAAGGGATTTTTTTCTTTAATTGGACAAGAACAATAGAGAACATTTCCTGTACAATACAAGCACTCTGTATACAGTGTTGTGATCACACTCCTTTAACCTAACCTTCCATTTACAAAAATCATCATATCACAAATGTAACCATTAATTTGTTTGTTAGATGAAATTCCTTTGCAATTTTAACAGCATTGATCTGGCTTATATCTGGAAATCTAGTGAAAACATTTCTGGCTGGAAATCTGGCGAAATATTTCTTGAACAAACCATGCAAAATTTTGAATCCATCCCCTTTTTAGTTACCAGCAATTTCGACTAACTGAAACAATATATTTGGCGGCATATTTTCCAAGGAAAAATATCCGTAGAATAGGGCTTTAAAAGTCTATTATGTGGCTGTGACTGGTTTCAGTTGACTTAATAACGCTAATCTAGTCATTGGCCATATATAAAAACCATCTTTCACAATTGTTCCTTCTTCAAATTGATTAGCAAGGACAGGCGAAAGGTTGCATCCTGGTAAAACTATGGTAACATTAACAGCTAAATATCCCGATGGCACCGCTCTACCGTGCACGACAGATTGACCCGTGACTTTGCCGTAAGCATGGACTCTTCAGTTGTCGTCTAACAAGGCGATAGCTTTTCCTAAAGAGGATATTTATATAAAAAAATAGTTAAAGACATAATAATATACATAAAATATTACTCGACTGCGATTGCTTAATTTCAGTGCAGTTAATCTGAAACAGCAGGGCAAAATCTGTAATCACAGTGCAATTTTTTGTAATCGTAGTACAATTTTCTGTTATCACAGTGCAAAAATCTGTAACAAACTGATCTGATTAGTAGAAAAACAATGTGATGATACAATCAAACAATCAGATTAAACCAGTTCACAAGTAATGGTCACAGAACAAAACAAACAAAACAAACATGTCGCCGCGCTACATAAAGTAAAAGTCGACTTGCGTTGGAAAATATGGCTTTTATTCTTTTTTAAATGGAAAAGCCTTTACCTTAAACAAGACTAACAAAACTTACATAGTTTAGTAGAATTTTCAAGCTGTTCACATTGTATAATGTGATATAACAAAGCCAGACATTTTATGTATACCGTACTATTAATAAGTAATAGCATGGTTTCGAGTGCAATTTGGATAAAACAAGCTCTCTTTGAAAAACTCAGTCGTGCATGTTTTATCCAAATTGCACTCGAAACCATCCTATTGCCTACACTAATATAATAAAATCTGGCAGACCAGTCACATAAAGAACATGTACGTGTGTGGTCGTATAAACCGACAAAAATGCTGCGGCCACATTAATCAAGGTACAGCTGTTGTGCAACGGTAATATCTTAGTTGTGTGTTACTGCTTGAACGTTCTTAATTAAGACAAACCTGACTGCTTACCTTGATAATACGTAGCATGAGAAACCAGCCTTAGCCGAGTCGGTTCATTTGGTCTTGAGGAAAATTCAGATGATGAATGCAATGAAGAAGGCCATGACGAAGGTAATGACAAAGGTAATGATGAAGGTAGCAAAGAAGGCAATGATGAAGGTGATGAAGGATGCAATGATGAAGGTAATGATGAAGGTAATGAAGAAGGCAAGGAAGATGGCAAAGAAGAAGGCAATGATGAAGGTAATGAAGAAGTCAACGATGAAGATAATGATGAAGATAATGTTGGAGGTAATGATGAAGGTAATGACGAAAGCAAGAAAAATGGCAAAGAAGAAGGCAATGATGAAGGTAATGATGAAGGTAATGAAGAAGGCAAGGAAGATGGCAAAGAAGAAGACAATGATGAAGGTAATGAAGAAGATAATGAGGAAGGTAATGATGAAGGAACAAGTGTGGTCATAGAAAGATCTGACGATTTGGCGGTTGAAAGTGTTTGAACCTCAGAGGTAGAGCCTGTATTTCCGGACGGCACAAAAGCACCAAATCCTTTCCCTGCCAAAGAACAAATTTTCGATTTAACAAATTCTGCTCCAGCCCCATTTGAACCCCACAACCGGGCGAATCCATGTTGGCTGCTTTTCGTTTTCTTTAACATGATTACGACGTCATAACCTTTTAAATGTAGCTGACGTGCCTATATAATATTGTCAGAAAGTTAGAAAAAATATTAAACATTAATATCAAGTCGATGGATTGCAATGAATGTAAACTATTCTAAAACCATCTGGGCCCCGGTTGTGCAAATGCTGGATATAGGATTATTCGCTGTGTATTAGAGCGCATTTTGGGAAGCACAGATAACATGGCAAAAAGATATCCGTCGAATAAGCTTAACGCGATATTTTGAATGTCAGCTGTTCTTAGTTTTTTGTACATATTATTCCCATCAATCCTCAATGAAATGTTAACTGTTTTTCATGCTTGTTCTTATTTCAACATTGCTAAATTCCTTTTATTTCAGTGGCGCAATCGTTAGAGCATGCGCCTTTCACCTCTGATATTGTGGGTTCAAATCCAGTTTGGGGACGACTTATGATAGCCATGTGAAAAGAGCAGGTCAACGCTCTGCCGAAAGTTGAGGGTTTCCTCTGGGTACTCCAGTTAGAGTCATCACAAGCTTTGGAATAAAATGGATGTTGAAAGGAAAGACTTGAAATCGATCTACTGGATGTTATTTGAGCATGCAGAAAAGCGAAAAAACAAATTAACGGACAAATAGCCAATTGAAAGCTTGTTGATTTCTGTGACCGGACAAATAACAACTTTAAATATACATATAAGTTCTTTCTACATTTTTAAACATATAAATAGTGTAATATTGATTTAACTTTTAAATACATACCGTATATTTTTTGTTTAAACTACATTAAAAAGAGAAATTTTTTTTTTCGAAAATCCATTAAATTTCGTGAAAGATCATGTGAGTTTTTTTAAACCTGTGAGTATGACTTATGTCTTAGGACAACCAAAATGCATCCCGCACAACCTTTGACGAAATTTGATAAATTTTCAAACTGGCTGTTTAAACAAACAAATATACGGTATATATTTAAAAGTTATTTCTGTTCATTTTATGAATTTAGAGGTTTATTTAAAGTTTTTTGTCATTTTAGCCATTTCGTATACGGTCATCTATTTGCCAACCTTGTACAAATTAAAATATTAATAACTTCTTATTAACCGAACGCGAAGTCTGTACAAAGAAATAGCAGACCGAGCTCTATTTTGCACAGACTGAGCCCGTAAGCGTAGAACGAGGTTTGTACAAAAAGATCAAGGTCCGATATTTCTCTGTAGATATCGATCAAGCGAGGTTAATAAAAAGTTTATTATATGGCATTTATACTTTGATTAAACAAACAAGAAATGCATGATTTGAAATGCATGATTTGAAATGCATATTAATAGCGTGGTACACATTTGGTCGAAGAAAACAAAAAATACCAATGTATTCCTTCTTTTTCACTAAAAACCATTCGCAGAAATTTTTAAATAACAAATATAATTTAATAATATAATTTTCAAATTTTCAATTAGTTTTGGGTGCGTTTGTTTTTACATATTAATGGCCGCCGGTGGTCCATTACGGGAAAATAATGGTCCGCTAAAAGTGCTTCTCAGCCAATCACAGTCTGCCATTTCACAGTAAGTGATGATTGCCATATAATAAGTAATGTTTACAACACGAGCAGCCATGTTGTATTGTGAATTGAATATACTGTACAATGAACATTTGATAAGAAGTGAAAGGAATTAAGTGTTTTGCGATTAAATTAATTGTTACCTTTTGTTTGATAAAGTGCCTCGAATAAAATAGACATTGTCATTTGCAGCTGGAATACAGGGTGTATAAAAAATGTAATGGGGCTTCAGCGCGCTATTGTATCTGAATTACTCTGAGTATGAACGAGATTTTTCACATTCGGAAAGATCATGCTTCTAGCTGTTGAATGATATCTTCTTCATGCCCATTTGGCACAATAATGAGCAAATACAAATCCGATAAAAAATGTTAGTCAGAATCGCATATTTTCACCGTTGAGAGTTGGGTCTAAAACCATTGAAAATGAACCCCCTTTGGTACTTAAGTTGATGAATTTCACTCAATAAACGACGCAATATTCATAATTATTATTAAGAAGGAATATATCCTAGCTAAGCTACGACACGTTCGTGATTAATTGCTTTTTCTTTTGTTATGCATTGTGTTGTGCCTTCAAGTTCAGTGAACTTCAAAAATATGTCAAGTCGAACACTTGACTACACCATTACATTGTATGAATGAAGAAACATTAAAATTGTGGCTGGGTCGGTTTGTGGAAGAGGTTTGCAATGCAAAGCCGAAGGGGTGGGGAGATATCCAGGACGAACTTTGTATGTTGTAATTTGAAGCGATATTTGAGTGATAAAAGTGGTTGGTTCCACTGTGTAAAGACGATAAAAGGTGAGTAGGCAGATTTTAATATGGTTGACATGACAGATTTTAGTGTGCATTTAGATACAAATTCTTCACCGAGTACATCAAGTCATACAAAAGTACCAGTGTTTAATAACTGCATGTTTAATTCTTGTGAAAACTTTTGGACGGAGAAATAAACTGGTGCTTGTCAAATAATTTTGGCATTGGAATGAATAAATGTGATTTTGTTGTTTTAATGCATTTCTTACTGTTGTATATAAATGGCCAATGAGATTTTAATAAATATGCAAATTAGTTACAAACACTCGTGGTTGTAACAGAAAAGATACAACCAGAAGTGTTTGTAACTGAGTTGCATATTTATTAAAATCTCATTTGTATGGGGTATACAGGGGTGTGCATGTGATATAATCCATGAAATTTGATTGGCTATAAACATCATTAATTATTCATGAATTTCACAAATACATATTAAATTTATTATTAAATTTCATCCATTGTCGACTGTGTGCACTACTTCATGTAATATGAATTATAGTTGATTAATCGATTTTCTTTTAAAAATATAAGACATTTTCGGGAGAGTGGAGACCTACGATTAATTCACAACAAAAATATTGATAGATGTTTTTACTCACATATGAGAGCATCCTTTCTTTGGTCTTTGATGCTGGCTGTTTGTTTTCCGTGGGCTCCCTTACTTGACGTTTTGGAAATGGATGGTGGCATTCGACGCAATCATTCCGTCGGACATGGTGTTGGAAATTGACGTTATTTTGCTTTATACATTGGTGTATTTTGAAGGACAACAATGGACATTTAGAGTTAGTAGGGGATTGCTGAACACGTGCGAGAAAACAGGGGGGAGTGAACAATGTTGGGACTGTGACTTGGGATTTTAAAAGAGCGAGTTGGGAGTATAGTTTATTGCTATTAAATTATAAAATACATTTCGTGTTCCGTACTTATTTGGAGGCACAATTTCGGAATATGTGGCACCTACCGACGAAGATATATTTGTGATATTTTGGGATTTATTTCGACGCTAGCGAGCAATTTATTATGGCGAACGAGGAAGCGAAACTCGATACAAAACTCACTCAGTTGAGATTAACGGCGCAAAGAACCTGGGAAAATACTTGATGCTGGAAAACGAGAAACGATCGAACGGCATTTAAAGGCACTCCAAACAACAATAAGCGAAACAGATCAGTGCAAACGTACGGTTGAGGCTGAAAAAATCGGTAAGAAAGAAGACCTAGCAGAAATTAGCGACTGGAATACGGAAATCGAAGCGAAGATAGGTGAAGCTGAAGACGAAGTAAATCGACTTCAACAATGGCTAGACAGCAAAAAGATGGAAGAAGAAAACTACGCTCGAGAGGAACAACTTAAATTCGAAGTGAAATTGGGAGAAACAAAGCTTCAAATGCAAGCTCAAATTCAGGATGCAAACCCGGGGGGGCATAACACCTCGAAAACTGAGACGGGGGAAGGCATGAAAGGTATGTCAGTGAGATTACCTAAAATTAATATTGTGCAATTTGATGGGTCATACATGGATTGGCCAAGATTTTGGGGCCAATTCACAGAGACGGTGGATAAGTCAAATATAGCTGCTATCAACAAATTTACATATCTGTGTGGGTTTCTGGGACCAAAAGTTAAACGCCGGGTAGAGTCATTGCCATTTACTGCGGAGGGATACAACCGGGCAAAGTCAATTTTGCAAGATCAATATGGCAAAACTCCGGAGATTGTCAAAGCCTATATTAAAGAGATCATGGATTTGCCACACATTTCTGGAGCCAACCCAAAGAAAATAGCAGAATTCAGTGAGAAATTGAATTATGGTGTTCAAGCCCTTGAGACACTAAATAAACTGAAGGATGTTCAAGGAAACGTTTCCATGACATTGGATAAGCTTCCAGCTATACGGGGTGACTTGGTAAGGGATGACCCAGACTGGGAAAGCTGGGATTTTGCAAAACTTGCTGAAGCAATCAGACAGTGGACCAAGCGAAATCCTGTTTATGAAAAGGAGTCGGATGCATCAGGGAAATTTGGGAAGCCTGGTAAAGTCTATCAAACAAAAGCCACAAGGGTATGTGTCTACTGCGAAGGCGAGCACAAGACGGGGGAATGTGAAGTGGTTACTAGTGTCAACGAGCGGAGAGGAATTTTAGCAAAAAAGAAACTTTGCTTTAATTGTGCAGCAGGGCAACATCGGGCAAATGCTTGTTTCAGTAAATCAACATGTCGAAAATGCAACAAACGCCACCATACAAGCATATGTGATGCCAAAGATCGAGATGACAAAGCCACTGCTGAACGAAAAGTGTTAACTGCAAGTGGAAGCACAGCTGAAGGAATTTTCCCTGTTGTGGTAGTCAAGGTGAATGGAATAACATGTCGAGCACTGATAGACTCTGGCGCTGGTAGCTCATACATATCTGGCAAACTTGCTTCCACGCTTAATGTGAAACCGATCGAGTCAAGAACTTCAAAAATTGACATGCTTTTGACGTCTAGAACCACAAGACTGGATATATACGAAGCGAAAGTCGAGTCCATGGACGGTGATTATGCAATGGATGTAAAATTGATCAAAGTCGAGAAGGGGGAGCTACTCACTGTTGACAACCCTCATTACGATAAGTTGCAAAGTGAATTTGATCACCTTAAACAAGCAAGGTTCATTGATGTCGACCAGAAATCTCAATTACCTGTTCATGTTGTGCTGGGAAGTGGTGAGTACGCGCGGATAAAAACTCGAACAAATCCTCTAGTGGGAACCGAAGGTCAACCAATTGCTGAGAAGACAAAACTTGGGTGGTTTGCCATGAGCCCTGGTGTAGAGCTGAACCACAACACGATGCTTCTTACTCAAACATCCCAGAAAGATTATGAAGACCTGTGCCGCCTTGATGTGTTGGGACTTGCAGATACAGCTGAGCATGATCAATCTATGGTCTACAGTGAGTTCAAAGAACAATTGACTAGATCTCCATCGGGCTGGTATGAGACGGGCCTTCCTTGGCGTGGAAACCACCCACCACTACCGTCAAATGAAATGGGAAGCATCCGCCGATTGCAATCTTTGGAACGTCGCCTGCAACGAAAGGACTTAATCGAAGACTACAACACAGTGATCGAGCAGCAGAAACAACAAGGAATTGTGGAACCAGCCAATAACGAAGCGAAGGGAAAAGTATTCTACCTACCCCATAAGGAAGTTGTACGAGAGTCGGCACAGTTAACAAAGCTGCGAGTTGTATATGATGCTTCTGCGAAAGCCTCTCCTGTAATCCCATCCTTAAACGAATGTCTTTACGCGGGTCCCCCTCTTCAGAACAAACTTTGGGAGATACTAGTTAGAGCCCGAAGTTTCCCAGTGGCAATCACAGGTGACATGGAGAAAGCATTTCTCCAGATCCGTGTAAAAGAGAGTGAAAGAGATGCGCTGAGATTTCATTGGCGAGAAAACCCACTAGCTGATGTGGAGGTATTGCGGTTCACCAGAGTATTGTTTGGTTTGGTATCATCGCCATTCCTGCTTGGCGGAGTTTTGGAAGCGCACTTAAATTACTGGAAGAGCAAAGCTCCAGAAGCAGTCGACACGCTGAAGAAGAGTCTGTATGTCGATGACATTATTTCGGGGGGGTAACACTGTTGGTGAAGCAAAACAGCGCAAGTCTGAAGCTACTGATATATTGGGTGATGCAACCTTTTCACTTCATAAATGGGCATCCAATGCGAACGAACTGGACGGAGAAAGTGACAGCAACGAAGATCGCGAGGAACAAACAGCGGCAAAACAACAGCTCGGTGTGAAGCCAACAGAAACAAAGATCCTGGGCGTAAAATGGGAAAAGGAGAACGATACACTAAGTGTGCAACTGGGATCGAACAGCGAGAATCCTACGAAGCGAAGCATCCTTAGTCGGTTAGCTAAGATTTACGACCCAATAGGAATTGCCTCACCTCTGTTGTTGCAAGGAAAACAAGTCTACCGAGAAGTATGTGACCACAAGCTACCATGGGATGTAGAATTGAAAGGAGCGATTAAAAAGCGGTGGGAGAAATGGGAAGACAACCTGCCGAGCGAAGTGACTGTGCCAAGACCAATTGCACCTTTCCAAGAGCCGGTGGAGAAATTGGAGATTCATGGGTTCGGAGATGCCAGTGGTGAGGGGCTGTGTGCAGCGGTGTACACAGTTGCAAGACAACCATCTGGTGTTACTAAAGAGTTACTAGCTGCGAAAGCAAGACTTGCGAAGAAAGGACTGACCATACCAAGGTTAGAACTTGTTGCATGCCACATGGTAACCAATTTGGTCAACAATACAAGCAGAGCTCTTTGTCATATTCCACACGAGAAACACTGCTGGTCAGATAGCACAGTAGCTTTGTGGTGGATCACAGGAGAAGGCCAGTATAAGCAGTTCGTGGAAAACCGAGTAGCAAAGATTCGAGATGCTGAAGGAATCGAGTGGCATCATGTACCGACAACAGAGAACCCGGCTGACCTCGGAAGCAGAGGTGGTCAACTCACAAAGCTCTGGTTAAAGGGTCCTACTTGGCTGCCAGATCGTAGTCATTGGCCACCTCGTTGTCAAACCATCTGCCGATTCTCAGAGTGAATCCAAAGCAACGAGAGCAATTCTCAATGTAGGTGTGGAACGAGTGGAGTCAGCGATCCTGGGAGATATTCTGAGGAAACACTCATTGACAAAAACCCTACGAATTGGTGCATGGATAAAGAGATTCATCGACAACAGTCGCGTGAACGTAGACAGCAGGCAACGTGGTCCATTAACAACCGATGAGACTGACCAACAACGTCTATGGTGGATCAAACAAGTACAAGCAGAGGCGAAAGAAGATTCAAAATGTCAAAATGATTCTGTTTAGTTAAACCTACAAGCCGATGCGAACGAGATTCTGAAATGCAAAGGACGAGTACAAGGACAACTTCCTATTTACCTGCCCGACAGTTCGTTGTTTGCCGTGAAACTTGTGGAAGAAGCTCATATAAAGACGCTCCATGGGGGAGTTATTTTGACGATGGCGAAGATTCGTGAGAACTACTGGATACCTCGCCTCCGTCGCCTAGTAAAAAAGTCGCGAAAGGGATGCGCACGATGCAAGAAGTTTATGACCAAACCTTATCAAGCTCCAACACCTGCACCATTACCAACAACGCGAACGGAAGGGACTACTCCTTATAAAGTTATCGGAGTCGATTTCGCCGGCCCAATCACATATAGAGTTAAGAAAACCCAAGAAGGGAAAGCATACTTAGTCCTATTTACATGTAGTTTGACTCGGGGAGTTTACCTAGAAGTTCTGAAGAGTCTTGAAACAACCCCTTTCCTTCGAAGTCTCAAAAGACTAATCGCCAGACGAGGTCGACCTTCTCTTATCTACTCGGACAACGCGAAGACGTTCCAAGCGGCTGCCTCATGGTTAAACAAGGTGATGAAAGATGAGAAATTCCACAGTGAACTGAGCAAGTATGAGATCAAGTGGAGATTCAATTTGTCACGTGCGCCCTGGTGGGGCGGACAATTTGAACGATTAATCGGAATTTTCAAATGTGCTTTTTACAAGGTTATCGGCAAAGGACTTTTGACATTTGAAGAGCTGTCGGAAGTTGTTCTAGATGTAGAAATCTGTATGAATAACCGGCCACTAAGCTACTTAGAGGATGATATTGAATTTCCTATTCTTACACCAAATTCCTTTGTGCTACAACAGTCGAATGTTGTGCCAGAGCTAGAATGTTATCATATTGAGGACGGTGATCTACGAAAGAGGGCAAGGTACTTGCAAAGCGTAAAGAACCATTTATGGAGACGATGGCAAAGAGAGTACCTGACGAGTTTACGGCAGCGTCATCAGACCATCATCAAGTCAACTGTAGTTGGTCCCAAGGAAGGAGATATTGTGTTGGTTAAAGGCGACGAGAAGAACAAAAACAAGTGGAAAATGGGAAAAGTTACGAAATTAATTCGTGGGAAAGATAACGTTGTCAGAGGAGTTAAGCTTCAATGCGCTAAATCGACTATAGAAAGACCGATTCAACTGATATATCCTTTGGAACTGGAATGCGACGTGGGGAAATGCGAGACGAAATTGAATACCAATGCGAAAGAATTCAAACCAAAGCGGCGAGCAGCAGTCGTAGCAGAAGCAAAGAATAAGGAACTGTTTGAACTGGATGAGGATGACGAATGACAATTAACATTGAGACATTGGGATTTTCTAGTATAACATGTGACTCCTTATGAGTCGCATGGGGGGAGGGTGTTGGAAATTGACATTTATATATAAAAAAGTGGAAACACCGTTGTCATAGGAACTGTGAGACATGCTCAGGACATGCTGGGGAGGGGATTTTTTACAAACATGGGAATTTTTGTGATGTGAGAAAACTGTGAGATTATATAAATTCATGTAATAAATATACGTCGATACATTTATTTTGATAATATTCCGTAATTCCGTTACTAAGATTCGGAGGCAAAGTTTCGGAATACCCAATTTGAGAGATAATTGGCATTGAAAATAAATATTAACTGAGATAAATGGCTTTATGGCCACGAATAAACAATAAAAGTAGACTAGTGGGCAGTATTCTGACTCAGAAACATTTATTATTGCCAGCATTGAGTGGGCTTCGGTCAGCGTTTATGGGGCAGCAGATGGTGCAAGGCGAGACTGCATGCGTTCAGTATTGGCCAATAATACCAATACTTCATAAAAACAGGAGAAAATGAGACAGAAGCAAAGAAAAACGACTCGATACACGAGTCGTAAACTAAAGCCACGAACCATGTTGCAACTGCATGCAAGCGTCGTTAAGCAACTGTGTATTATTTCGGCAAAACACAAAGTTTAAGACGTTTTCAAGTTTACGTTCTACTGCATGATCACACACTCGAAACGTACGTTTCGTTGCTCGTGCGTGCGATCAACAAGTTTTCCTTGAAAAGGTTTGTTGCTTTTCATCCACGTTTTTCGATCTGTGTGTGCAGAAGAAGGATATATATATCATAATATACAGTTACAAGATTACACAATTTTCACTATAGAATTAACGGTTGCTGCAAATCTGTGATCATTGCATGTAAGTTGAAGATGGTCTAGCTTACTATAACATGTTGTAATTTGATTAATCTTTTGTAGACATTGTAAGAATAAAAGCCCCTAAAGTCTATTGGGTAACTTAAAAATTGCTATTGGTGGAATTGGCAAAAATACAACACGCATGTGACGGTGAAGACCATCCATATTTTTTTGCAAAAACGTTGACTAACATAGATAATGAGTCTTTGGAAACTCATTAGAATAACAATTATGATAATGCTTATTCTAATGAGTTTCCAAACCATCTATTCTACTCACTACTGCTCTAAGTGCAAGTCTATAACAATTTAAATTTCAAACAATGTCTAGAGTCTACGGTCTAAAACTATTTTCTTGGTAATTGTAAACAGTGTAATTGTACTTCATGTTTAAATCGTTTTGAAATCCCGTTCATGGCTAGGGAACGGGCTGAATCGTTCAGCGCTTTCAACGTTGTTCACCGAACCAAAATATATACAAATGCCTTCAAGTTTCTTTTTTGAAGAGAGTCGATGTTCCCACAAGATAATTTATTCAGAGGATTTATACTTATGCCAAAACCAATGAACGTATCAGGTGTGTTACAATCATCTTCATTATTACCGGCAAAACCAATTCGCAAACGCGCCTTTGAAAACTTCAGGTTGAAACCTTCCTTGCTGCAATTCGGTTGTAATGAAGAGTCATCTATAAGGGACACCCATTCCGCTCTTCCAGCATTTGTTGCGACGTCATTTCCGTCTGCGATCACACTGTACAGTGAACTTGCGGTGTGGTTGAGAAGTATCCAATTTGTCTTCTTATTCACGTCTGTCATTCCCAGGCAAATCTCGGTGAAAGGCGTGTTATGGTACGAAGCTAGCTTTGTTTCATTTTCTGTCAAACCGTCCATGACCTGCTTTATCGTTCAATGTAGCGTTGTTTCCCCAGAATAGAGAATTGTATCTAAATGTATCCTACAAAACAATATAACCGGATTTTGGTATTAATGAACACAGTAAATTCGCGGCTTTCCGACCGGGCGTGTTGTTGACTGCTGTTAATACACAATTCATGATGTTTGGTGGTTGGGGAATCTTTCTACTCTTTGACAGGGGTTTGATTCTTGCAATATGCATTTTTGCAGACGACCAAGTATTTCAGTTTAACTGTGTAGGTACTTTGGACAATAAAGCAATGACGTTTATACTGCATCTGTAGGAAGAATGCTGATATAGCTATCTAGTGATAAAGAGGGCTCATTAATATTATTTAGTGCCTGGAAGCAAAACTCATAACGTCAGAGGCATCGTATTTTTCATTTTGAAAGCTAAATATTAAAACAGCAGGACTAAACGAGATATTAAAGGAAAATGGCAATATATTTTTTTATTTTTTCATTTGAGAGAACTTTTAATTTAATAACTTCATTTTCCGATGCTTCATATCTTGCTTAGTTCTTGAAATATTTTCACTTGAAGTAATGATCATGAGATGTCAGCCATCGTGAATAAATTTTTGATCTCATTAACCGATAAAAGTTTTCGTTGCTGATCAAATATTGATTGGTAGATGTTTTAAAGGTTTCAAGTGATCTTGATATTTCCAAGGGCATATACAGAGTATAATTTTGAGCCCAAAATGATTAGTGGTTGTCTAGATAAAAACTGATATTGCGTGACCCCTGTTGTGACGTAACATGCATATCTACAAAAATCCAAGATGGCGGACATTTCATTTCTTTCGATTAAAATATTTGTAGAAGTAAGCAAGATATGAAAAAACTAGTTTTATGTATGGTTTTAAATGTTCTTTCGAACGAGAAAATAAAAAAATATATTGCCATTTCACTTTAAAATATGCGTACACAAATTCAAACCGGGTGCTTGTGAGCGTATAAATAAATTTAGTTTTAATGATGCCTGCATGAGTATAAATAAAGTTAGTTTAGCTTTCCTCCATGAATAACCCCTGAGAAATAACCATTACTGTTTTTACTGATCATCTCTAAAGAGAACTGATAGAGCTACAATCATGGCAAAAATCCCGTGGACAATTGGGAGTAAACTGAAGCATTACTGTTTACAACACTTGTTGGCGTCTTTGACACTTTGTCTCCCAGCTCCCGCCTACGATGTCGGTTTAAATAACTTTTGACATGCATTGCACAAAGCTTTCACCTAACCAATTTATGGGCTTTCATGTATTGGGCAAGGCAGGAATTTCAACTAAATAATTTTTGCCAGGATTGCTCCAATATAAATGTGATTGGTTTAATTATATTTTGTATATGACACCTGTTATAGAGACATGCTTACCTTATCTGGATCCAACTTCATGACTAGTGTCCAACCCCCACCACCACATTGGGAGGACAAATTCGACATATGACAATAAGCTGGATAGGTTTCTGAGGTCTTGTTTACCTGAAGGTTGTAAACACCATCGACTGCCGAACTAAACAGAAGATGCAATAGTCAGTTGCAGTACTATGACCGAGTCCAGAACTGGCGCTAAATTCAGTCAGTGAGCAAGCTAGAACTCATTAAGGCCCCTTTATACTTGAAATTTTTGGCTGCGATTTTAGGTCTTCTGATAGATGTGAACGAGTAGAAGATGAATGTTTAGATTAGGGTACAAATATTCAGAACATTCATGATTCATTTATTCGTTCATATACATAATACATCAGAAGAAGAAAATCGCACTAGAAATCGCAACAAAAATGAGAGTGTAAGCGGGCCTTTAAATGGGTATTCAATAGATTCAGACATGTTAAACCAACCTGTTTGCCTCGAAAACCTCTTTGCATGAAATGTAAGTTTCTAATTTGGAAAATTGGTTAAAGATATTGTAATTAAATTGTCGACCTCGTCCAGCTAGTTGGGGATGGGCGGAAGATGAATATTAAATACTAGGGTTCTGAAGTAGTGTGAATATGAATATTGATGGGGAATATGAATATTTCGGGTAGGAATAAGAGTAGGAATATTTGCAACCGGTAAAATTGGAATGAATACCGCTCCTCCACCTCCCACCCCCTCGGCAGGTTCTTCAGGTGAATTCAGTTGAAGGTAAGAATATGGATTTTAGAGGTAGGGATATTAAATATTTAAAGAAAAATATCCTTCTTCCACCAGGAAGCCCGGGTGTCAATAGAGCTACCAAACACTGAAAAGCTCTTGAAAAACAACCAACCAATTTATATTAAAGCCAAACCTACCGATCGGAAAACAGCTGGGATTGTACTCCTAGAACAAATAAGAGATACTTAAAATTTGAACAAGCTCAAAGTTGATGACAGTTGATGAGAGTTGACGGTCAGACGCGAGACAGAATTGGACATATATTCTTATCAATTTTCAATGACTTTTATGCCCGTTTGACTGAGGCCTTACACGAGTTTTCAAGTATACATGGCCAGTGGCAGTCTTAGCTCAGCGGGCAGCACGCTAACCGTCACCCCTGCTTGTCACCGAGTGGTTGTAATACGTGACAAAATTAAAATCCATTACTTATTACCTTTTGTGGAGAAATGAAAAAGAAATGATCGAACGATGTATTTGCCTCCAAAACGAACGACGAATTTTCTACCAAGTCATGTAAGAATTCACATTTGTTCGGTTCATAGTTGGGGGATGTACTGTGTTTATAGTTGATAGACCTGCAACATAGGTCAGCCAAGCAGTCGTCTATACACAAGCGCTTCTAGAAGAAATGTCACGCACTCCCAGAACTGTTGCGTCAAGTCGAAAGCCTAAAGGGCGAAGTGTTAAAAGACTCAATAAAATATATAGTAATGTTTCTACAAATAACACAGAAATGGAGTCATGATTAAGCGCTCATAATCATCTAAACTAACAATATATTTAAAAGGTGAATAGCTACAATCTTGGACATATCGCATGTTTTTATGATTCCCCTTCTTAATTAAACAGCCGCTCCCCCAACTCAATTTTGAGCTTGTGTCATTGTATATATTATACCAACAGTTGTTTCGGCGTTTTTTACAATATTGAACTGGGAGGGGGAGACAAGTTTGTTTTGTCAATGTTCGATCAATAACTTTGTAATATTGGCTGGAATGATCTCAAGGGTTTTGTCCAAGATTGTAGCTCATTTTTCAGTTCTTAACTTGGTTCCCTAGGGATCATCCTTTACTATCCCAATTGACCATTTGCGTAATAGACTAAATTTTGAACTAAACAAGTCTAGACAAAAAATTCATCACAGCTTGAAGGAGCATCACAAAATTAGTAACATTCCAAAGTTTCGTTGCAAAATGTTGTAAAATGCGGAAAATATAGCCTTGCGAAATTTGCAATTTTCAGTCATTTTAGATTACAAACGGGAAATTGACAGCCTCAAACCCTTCGAGGCTGTCAATTTCCGGTTTGTAATCTAAAATGACTGAAAATTGCAAATTTCGCAAGGCTATATTTTCCGCATTTTACAACATTTTGCAACGAAACTTTGGAATATTACTAATTTTGTGATGTTCTTTCAAGCTATAATGAAATTTTTGTGGAGATCAAAATTTAGTCTATTACGCAAATGGTCAATTAAGGAGGCTCCCTACAGTTCCGTGCGGAATGTTCGCGGGACAAGTACGTGAACTATCCCACGCAAAACGGTAATTGCTAGATAGTATACTTCAAAATAAGGTTTCCGTTTTTATATCAATTTTAAAATAAGTCAGGGTTAGGTTAGAGTTTAGGTTAGGGTTAGATTGGGGTTAGGGTGAGGGTTAGTATTAGGGTTAGGGTTTAGTTTTGCGTTAGGATAGTTTTTTCTACGTTATAAAAACGGAAATCTTATTTTGAAGTATACTATCTAGCGATCACCCACGCAAAACTGCCTGATCAAAACAAAACAAAAATTGACCATGCTTTTTTTAAAAATAAAGCTATTTCTGAAAGGTTTCTAATGGAAAAAAGCGTTGAATAATACTTCGTTTTGAGTGCCAAATCACTTGCGAGTCTATACAGCAATTCTACATATGATACGAATATCACTAGACCAAAAAATAGCTACGAAACAATATTTTAAATTTTTTTTATACACTGTCAACTGACTATTAAAACTGTAAAACATTTGCAAAATTGCATACAAACTTTAAAAAGTTGTTTACTTCTCAAGAAAACGTTCATTATATGTAAACAGAAAAATATTTCAGTTTCATAGCCTAATTGTTCATTTTTAGCAAAAAGTACAAAACCAAACATGAAACAAAAAAACACGTCCACCTGTTAATAGGTTGTTACAGCTCATAGATTGAGTAAACGGCAGGATTCAATTAGCTTCAACCTTGTTTTCATCGATTTAATCCTTGACAATAATCCTGGCTGTCCATAGCACTCAAATAAATCGAAAAGTTGACAAAAACAAAACAGTAAAAACAACATTGCGGCTCGATTTTGCTGAATGAAAACTTGTTCTGCGCCCGCGTACAATCTTTTACTAGTCAGCGACGCTTTTCAATAGGGTAATTTCTGGAATTTCTCGAGTTACACGAGGCTATTTTCAAACTTTATTTGCATTTTACTCATTAGTTTCATCGGTGACCTATCTTCAAATTTTGACCACGAATTTATTTTGCGGTAAATTTTATAAATTTCAAATTTTAAAAAAATCTGTAGTGTGAAAATTTCGCAATAAAATTTTCGCTTTTAAAAAAATCACACACTACAGAATTTTTTTAAACTTTCGCCACAGTTGAAGAGCATCATTCCTTATTGATATATGAAATAAAAAAGATAGGTCACCGACATCGTTTTTGAGATAGCGGCACATTTATGGGTTAAATTGGAAGGCTTTATGCTGTCGTCATGTTGCCATGGGAACATTGACATCGTCGAAATCTAGTTCGAAATATTGCTTAGGTGACCAATATTGCCACCAAGTCGAAAAGAACTCGCGTTCTGCACGAACAAACCTGTTTTACGGAATTATTGCTTAAACA